TTCCTCGCCGCTGTACAAAGGGCTGCTCTGCCATCTCTTTCCCTACATTCTGTTCAACCCGCTCAGTCTCAGCCTTATCCCAATCAAGGTAACTCATCATCTCCTCCTTAGTCCAGTCCCTACTGCTATTTCCTACCTTACAATGCCTCCCCATTTGCTTATAGTCAAGGCACCAGTCATACTCTGTTTTAGTGTACCGTATAGGCAGCTTCATGGCCTTCCGGTATTGTTGATTAGTCTTAATGGTTCCCCGAGGCAATGTAGCATACCAGGCCTCTCGTGCTTCCTTGTATCGTTGGAAGATAGCACGTGGGTCATCAGCTCGTAATGCGGGCACTGCTGGCGTATTTACTGGCTGAGAGGCTATTGATGTAGCTACCGGAGGGGATAGTATCTGTGTTGTTGTTGTGTGTGTTGTCATATGGGTTGTTGTGATAGTCTCTGATATAATAGAGCCTGATGAGGAGACCGGGGATAATGAGCGTGTTATAGAGCGAGTAGATATATGTGTTGTTATATGCGTGATCGTAGAGGCTTGGGTAGGGGCCGGCAATAGATGCTCGTAACGCAAGGGGCATGCCTTTGAGTTCATCCTGTGGCCTTCCTCGTGACATCTCGAACACTTTGGCGGTGCCCTTGGTTGTACTGCTTTCTCGATAGCTTCAAATGCACAAGGCACTCGTTGTGTGCTTGTTGGTGGCAGTATTGAGCTAGCTGATACACGGTCGAATAGCCTGTGAGGCTCAATAATAAGCTGGGGGATTCCTGAGCGTTGGAGATGCCAATGTGAATGGAAATGGTGTAGTAGAAGGGGCTGATCCTGCACCAGTAAAGGCTGAAGGATATGGGCACAAGGCAGGCCAAGAGTCTTAGTAAAAACCCCTGTACATTCAGGATATTCCTTTAATAGCCGCTGTCGTTGAGTCTCAACCTTCCGTAGGGCTTCATGTGATATCCAACCATGGATATTGCTATATAGTGACCCAGATAGATAAAGAGGTTTAGTGATCTGCTGTCTGGCTTGAGCTGCCTCGATTTCAGCAAGCTGGTTTAATAGAACAAGGTTAATGACCCTCCATGCCTCGAAGAGGTCAATTTGCGAGCTTTTCAGATGAGCCTTGATAAGCCGATGAATGCCCTCAGCCCGTGATGTGACTAATTGGTCGAAGTGCATGTATTGATGAACCCACGCCTTCACAAACCTCTCCTTGTGGGGGTCCAGCCAAGTCTCTATGATATAGCCTACCTCACTAACGTAGTCAGGGAGGTAACGCTCCATAAACTTCTCAAGCCTCGCATTATAGATATCCTCGGTTGATGAGGCTACAATCTCATGCCAAGAGTCATAGAATCCCTTCCACGCTTTAAGTCCCTGAGAATCATCTTTATCTCGAGCAAATGCAGGCATGCAATGGCCTAAGACTGCCTTATTGATATGCCATAGGCACAGTATTAAGGCTGATTCAGGGAAACAAGAGGGAGAGAAAACAGCATTAATACAGGCAAGGCAGCGATCTGTGAGTATCACAGATGGAAAGGCTGCTCCGTGAAGCTCGTATATATAGCGTAGCCGTTCTAGAGCCCAGATGAAGTCTGCCTCTTCCTCGCCGCCAAGGAATGCAAATGCAACGCAGAAGGAGCGTTGACAGGCATCAACACCAACCATATCAAGCTGAGGCATCTTGTACTTATTGGTCTTATATGTACAGTCTAATATAAGCACCTCAGGATATAATTTGGCATACTCTAGTGACTTCGGATGTGCAAAGAATACTGCTGTAGCTCTGCCGGTCTCGTTAAGGCGTATTTGACTCCAGAAGCCCTCGCTCTCGAGCTCATTGGCAAGGGCATGCATATGGCTTTGACCTTTGGCAAGCTCTCGCTTGCCCCGTGCAATGCAATTGTAGATATCTTGCTGCGTAGCAATCGTATCTGTGTTTATACGTAAGTATGATCTAATCTCCCTTGGCGCAACGCCGGCATTGGCGAGTTGTTGGACTGTTGTATTATCTGATGATGATAGCTGACGATGCGTTGGATGTGCCAGTTGACTAAGGCTTGGTTCGTGATTGTGTTGGCTAAAGCCGGCCCCGGGACGATGCCTTATACTCCATGTAGTCTTACATAGGCTCTCCATCGCGATAATAGAGAAGGGGCATCCTGTATAGCGTGATGTGGTCTGCCGTTGCCGTTCCTTAGGGCGAGGGGCACGCCCTCCTCGGTCACAGCTGAAGATAACTCCAGTTCTTCCACTGGAGGTCTTCCAAGAGTTCTTGGTCACAAAGGCATAGCCCCGTGATGCTGCCCAAGCATTGATTGCTACATAAAGCTTCTCTCGTGAGGTGTAATCGCCTTCGGGAGGAAGGGCATCATTAGGAAAGCGGCGGCCGCCCTCAATTGGGTCCATTATAGCAGAAGAAAAGCGCGGCAGGCCTATTGATGCCGTAGAGGCAGTTGAACGTTGAATTGAAGGGCCAATTTGCGGTATGTGACCCCTTTTCGGGCTTACATAACAGATCTTATAGACACAGCTAGCTGTGCGAAAATCACGTGACCTTAAAGACACAGCTAGCTGTGTCTGTATGGATCCCCTACTCTTTCAGCGAGCTATGTCTTGCAGACAAAGCGTCAGCTGCTGAGCGAGTCAAAGATCTAGTGAAAGACCTGCGATGGCCGCGACAAGCGAGTGGATGCGTATGCACTTGCGACACTGCGTAGCTCATCTAGAAAGCGCATCTATAGAGCTAGATCGTCTCGGTCTTAGGGCACAAACGGATGAGTGCGAGAGGATAATTAAGGACTGCATAAATGGTTTCCGTGGCCATAATGCTTCGACCAGTATAGTCGCATAGCCTTGAATATTAGGAGGGAGTAATGCGATATTCTGGATAAATCGATTAGACCTCGGGCTTGACTGAGATTTATCGGAGATTATTAAAACGTAGCACTAATAAATGGATATTTATCTCATGGTGCAGACAGTTTTAGAAAGCGCTGCTATTTTCTTGATATTGCTAATATGGTTTCGAGATGGCACGCACCAGCCTCATGATAAGTTGGTTTACAATCGAACAGCGTATTTTTTATTTTTTAAGTAGATCAATAGATTAACTGCGGTAGGGTTGATTTAGTCAATAGCTAGGAGGCGTGGGGGCAGAAATGGGCCTCATAGCCAAAATTGAGGTTTCAGTATAAAGTGAACCACTGTATTATTCACGTACCATATAATTAGCCTTATATTAAAAATTATCTCAGTATAAAGGGGTATAACTTCGATGCCATTATATGAGCAAATCGTACGATAATGAATGTATCTGCTGAAGATCATAATATGATATGGAAATAGGGTTCGGGTTTATATGGTCGTTGAGTTTGGAGGTGTTAAACGGCACGTAAGGTTACCCCGCAAAAAAAAAAAAAAAAAAAAAATCAATCAACACATTTTGCTGCTGCTCATCACATTCACTTTAACCCTTTAAGCACGCTCAGTGCGATACCCGACCTTCTATCTTTTAAGCACACTAAGTGCGACAGTTGACTAGTCAAGTACATGACTTAGGCAGAGTAAAATGGATAGTCAAAGTCTGGAAAAGTCCCCACTTTGCATACCTCCTGGAATTTCAACACCACATTCTGCAGCGTGATTTCGTAATAAGTAAAAAGCCGTGATAAGTCAATTTCTATATCATTCGAAAACCCTCAATGAAACGATTAATATTTTGTATACCATCCGCGTGCATGCCTAACAGCGCGAAATCGGGCGCCGATCGAAGTTGGGAGCTTCAATACGAGCCCGTCATCAAGGACATCCCACGCCTCTTGGATCCACGACTTGAATTTCGCTATATCCTTCTTCCCCTTGCCTAATTTGTGATTTCCTGGATGTAATTCCTCGAACTTCCTTTTAAGGGCATTCCACATATGTTCAATAACGTTGAGATCAAGGGAATGTTGCGGCCAGTCAATTGGAAAAATCCCATGAAGTAACCAGTCCCGATTTTCTTTCGCATCGTGAATAGAGACATTATCCTGCTGAGAAGCTTCAACGAGCTCGATAAACGGAAGAACGCCCTCCCGCAGTGCTTTTCTATAGCTCCAAGCCGAACAGTCGTCCTTCCTTGCCGGTTGATCCCTCGCCATGAAGATCAGATTCGTACGGAAGCTTCTCGTGATGCCTGCCCACGCCATATGTGGCTGAGTCGCTCTTCCGTGCATCCTAAGGTTCACAGTATCTCTGCGAAATTGTTCATAAGGTCGTCGGATTGCCCAGGCGCCAAAGGTGTTAGGGGCGTTCTGTATAATACACTCATCCGTGAAGAAAGCCTGCAGTTTTATCAGTCAGAGAACTTCCTAGGAAGCAGAATGTCCCCTACGCGCTCTAATCCTTCGACGCGAGGAATGCAGTACTTCACAAACTTACGGCGTGCCTTCGCATCTTCCTCCGTTTACTCGATACGATTCTGAGACCTCCATTTGCACCGCCAACAGCCGTCAAGTCGGCGTTGTAGAGTCTTCTTGCTGGCGGGGCTTGCAACTCGGCGATAGCTTCATTCCACGTAATCTGACGGTTTTGGTCAATATAGGAATTCATCCTCTTAATCTGCATTGGCGATAGCTTCATTAGTCGGCCTCGCCTTGGCTTGAATTCCATTGTGTGGCTTTGGAGCCAGCATTTCTTGGTCTTCGAGACCGTGCCGGGGGTTGTGCCGTAATCATGAGCAACCTCTACAGTTGTTTTCCTCGCCGCCAGCTCCGCCACCATTGCTGCTCTCGCCTCGGGAGTGAATTCATGGTTTTTCTTGCAATTCCCGCTTATTTCGGCGCCAAAATTGCTTGTTTTGGGATTCATTTGGGTTATGATTCTGTTAGTTGAAGATGATGCTGTTGTTGAGCTGGATTTGAAGAAGTGGTGCTGGGTGGGGAATCTTTTCCAGACTACCCATTTTAGCCCTGTTACTTACTCTTGAACCAACCAACCAGTGATATTCCGCTTTTGAGCTCTACAGCATATCTTCATGGACCCCGGAGGATAAAGACCCCATGTCTATGCCTGGAGCTTCAGGAAAACTAAGAAGTGACGGCGCCCCCATCTGGTTAGCACTATCGTGGGCTACATCGACAGAAAATGTGCCGAACAAATCGAACCAAGTAGATTGCATTGCACCACATTGATCCAGATCAGTATGGACCTGGTGGTCAGACTCAGTTGAGTTTGATATAGTGCTGTAGTCGACGAGGGACCACATGAAATCTTCCTCAGCTTGGCTGAGGCTAATAATTTGCGGTTCTTCGGATGCTAGTTGAGAGTAGGCCATGCGCAGGTCGGAGAATCGCTGCAGGATGATGGCCTAGATTGAGATATCCTTAGTACTAAGACAGTATGTTTGTGATTGAAGAGTCCTTCAATTTGATCAAGGAAAAAGATTTGCCGTGAAGGCCCGTGATTCGATGACATACCATAGTCGCCACATTCTTCCAGTACAGGCCAATGTCTTGCGCGATCTCTATGCTCTCAGAAAGTAGACGAGCCGAGTCGTTTGCTCTCCAGGGCTTGTCATTGTGGCACTGGAGACCGACGATGGAACCGGCCATAACCATACAGTAGCTATGGAAGGACGCCTGGACAAGGACGCCCAGACGGCGAGCCTCCTGCAGAAGCTCAATCATAGCTCGGGCATGTTCCCATGCTGAGGTAAAGGAGCGAGAGAGGAAACATGACGGGACAGCAGGGCAGAAGGAGGAAATTCGCCGCCGAAGCAGAAAGGGGTGGTAGAGAATGCAATGGCATAGGTGAAACAAGGCCATGGAGAAAATTGCAGGCCCAGCGCTAGGCTGATCGATGGATCCGTTGGGGAGGCGATGTGAACTCACGATTTCTGCGGCCGATTTCGAGGATTGTAGGGCAGTCTCTACGTAGAGTAAATCCGACTCGATAGAGGCAAAGTCCGAGTTGACATCCCAAGGAGGGTTATGGTTCCGGATGTTGAACTGTTGAAGCATGTAGCCTGCCGCACGGGCGAGAGAGTACGCCATAAGGGTGACGCCGGCGAGCGGGCTGTGGAGGACGCTCTCGGGAAGTGGCTTCCGTGAGATAAACTCCTCGAGCGTCATGGTAGACTGCCAGCAGCCGTTACGGTAGGTAGGCTCGTCACATGGTAGCTGAAGTTGGCAGGATGCATCCAAAACAGCGGGAGGACGACAACGGCCGCAGGAGACTAGACGATCGAGGAGGTAGATGGACCAGAAGACACGGCGACGCTCCTCCCGCTCAGGTGCTGGAAGATTCGCGTCATCCTCGACCATGAGTTTGAGATCCTGAGCTATACGGACCGAGAGACCAATTTTGACCCAAGCAGAGGCGTGGCGTGCTTTGCCAGCTGGAATCATTGGCGAAAGAATCTAGAGTCAGTCCTCATCACCACGGATAAAGTGGGAATAGGGTGGGAAATGAACAGAAGGAGGCAGGGGTCGCTCCGACAGAAGAAAGTCAGAGAGAAGAGATAACCAACCTGTGAAGTCGAATATAGCTAGCAGGGTAATAGTCTGAACCGTCTGTACATGAGCCGCCTGATTGTGAGCAAGGCAGCTGACAACAATTGCCTTCCAGGAGCGGCTTGCGTACTGCACAGCGCTCTCGTGCGGGTCGCAGAAGAATGGGTCGGAAGAGAAGCGAGCGGCGCTGGCAAGGACAGCGAGGACGAGGTGGTCCGGCAAGAGACCACGCTCGAGACTCTGGCGGAAGCTGGCCTCGTGGAAGAAGGAGTAGGGTTGATTGTGGCAGTGGCGGAAGTAATCGTTGACGCAACCCAGAAGCACAGCACGCGGGGGAAATGCTCGCGGGGAGAGGGTACCGACGCCTGGCTCTGAGGTTGCTGAGGGAGACAGGGGCGCTTGCGGATGCCCAATGTGGCTCGAGGAGGTTGCTGATGGTCTTGAAGCGGACGATGAGACATCAAGCTCTCGAGAGGAAGTGATGCCCTGGGCACGGAAGTCGAGTAGGAGGCCTTCTATGCGGCTGAGGCGTTCTGAGATGGATGAAATCGATTCTTCGCTGCCGCCGTTATCGGATGAGCCAGCGGGGGCAGGAGGGGCAGCTGAGCGTGTTGAAGTAGATATTCTACTGGATGCCGACGGGTACTGGCATTCTGCGGAACGGTCAAGATCAGCGCAAGAATGAGGACGAGTTGAAGCAAACGCAAACAACCACAAGAGAAATTGGGGGGGGGGAGACGCTCGAGGGGCAAGGAGCTCATTCAATGGAGTCAATACCTCGACCGAGACGACGGCAATGGCTACACTGAGGCCTGTGGCCACTGCATCGAGCCTTTTTGCGGCGACATTCCAGGCATGCCAGGCCGATGCGCTGCACCGGGCGATACTCCACTGCCATCCTTTGCTGGCGCCCGACCTGCTCGTCCATTTTGACAATGTCAAGGTGCGTAGAATCTGTCGAGGGATATCGAGGCTTGCAACCTGGCCGGCCTGGAAAAGTTTGTGCGGAGGTGTTCCCCTTGCAGCCGGATTGCTCGGGCTGGGGGTAACGGGGCCACATAGGGACACGGGTCCGTACACACACGAGTCGTATAATTAGTCAGCAAAGCCCACTGTAATTTCCAGCAGCACTCACTATCCCTTGAGTTGTGTTTCACAGCTGATTACTAACAACAAACAGCCTCAAGTTGACAGACCATGCTTCAGCTGCTGAAGATAGGATGCTGAACACTTGGAGATGGTATTGGTTGGCCTTCAAGCAGGTTTGTCAAGCAGTGTCAAGCAAACGGGGCTAGAAAAGTAAGAACAGGAAGAGCAGTAGGGCTTTCTTTTGTGTAGAATGGACGAAAAGCGGGGAATACGTGAATAGCTTAGCGTAGCCACAGGCCCTATGAGGTCCGTTCTCCCGGGCGTAATAAATACTACTACTACTACTTGAGTTGTGTTGAACCTCCCGCCAGGTCACAGCAGGGGGTTACAGCCAATTAAAATGCGTCAATCAAAAGATACCTGTCGCCCCCCTATTTCAGCCTGTGATAGAAGTGCCAGCAATCTCTCGAGTTACAAATCGTTACATCACACTGCTCACGTTCCCAATCTATCAAAAGGTTCCACCCATGTACCTCCTAGAAAATGGTGGGCATGTGGGGCCTGGTACGGTCGGGAGGTTCAACACAACTCAAGGGATAACTTTTCTGCCTGTCTCACCACTGGGAACTACCATCAATGGATTCCAACACAGCAGCTTCTTTCCCTCTTCAGCAGTGGTATAGATCACACGAGGATCTATCCCTTGATCTCCATATATGGGCAGCAACTAATGGCTTCAAACTTATCATACGAAGATCATCCACTAATGCCTCCGGTCAAACTACTGTTACATATTCATGTAATAAGTTTCGTTCCGTTTGTCAATTTTCTGTTTTTGCTTTGCAAAAACGAAGCGGCAATCGGCTTCTCGAATTTCGTACTGAAGTCCGGTTTTCTGAACACAATCACGAGCTTCATCAATCTCGAGATGAGCCGCGAGGTGAAGATGCAAGATGAGTCACAAGACGAGCAACCCCCAGAGCAGCCTCAAGACCAGCTGCAATATGAGCTACAAGACAAAAAGCAACCTACCTGTAGCAAATGTCATAGAGAAGGTCATAGAAGGCGTGCCAAAGCTTGCCCCTTGAGATACCAAAGTAGTCCCTAGTGGCAAAAAAGTTATCCCTTTGAGCGGTACAGCCCTTCAGCGGGGTCACGATAGGGGCGTAGGACCAATCAAAATGAATAAAACTGACGGTACTTCTCCCTACATACTAATTTGTATGATGGTAAAAGTCCCAGCAGTTTTGATCGTTACAAAGAGCTACCTCACAGACTCGGCAGCCGTACCAGGTCTGCCTAGTACCCTGCACGTACTAACCTTGTGACTAAGCAAAGTGGGGCGAGTGACCTCCTGAAGGGCTGTACCGCTCAAAGGGATATAACTTAGCGCCAGGACCAATAACAATTCAAGAATATGCATTAGATGCGACATTGACCCAAGTCATGAGCCCCCACTTGCTGTCCATGCCGTGAGGGGGAGTTCAGAGGGCACAGGGGTCTAGCCCGATTCAGTTAACATTCAAGTCAAGTTCAACTTACAGCGTAACTTGAGCTGTCACTGGTGTCACGGCCCAGTTGGGGACTATGTAGATCAGGAAGCTGGAACCATCCCCCCTACGTGAACTGCCTTGCCTGCTTCTACTCCAAGATTTGAACTCCTCACCACCACATCGCCCCCTACCCTCCCGCCTGGAGCAGCCCCAGCCCCACAAACGCAACGACTGCCGCTCCCCCCCACAGTGTCCAAATCCCCTTGTCCCATCCTCTTGGCCCCTGCATCGCAACCCACGTATCCGTCACACACACAAGAGTCCACGCCGTCGTCAAAACTCCCATCTCCTTCGTCTTGCCTTCACGATAGAACCAAAACAGCGCTGCTGCAGCGGCCAAGTCACGTATACCAAGGAACACCATTGCTTTTTCGGTTACGGTGCAGCCTTCTGGAGTGGTGGGCGTAACCCCAAGAGAATCTGCAGCAGCGGGTGGTGCGAGTATGGCCAGGGCTCCTAGACCGAAGATGGTGGTTGTAAGGCCAAGGCCGACGAGGCGCCATGTTGAATGAGTAAGGAGGCGGTTGGGGAAAGCCATAGCAAATGTTGACTTCGGAGAATTGATATTGGATTCAGTAGAAAGGGTTGCGGGAAGTTTGAAGAGAAAGGCTTTCCGATCAAGCTAAGCTCGCAAGGTTTCGTGGAGATAAGAGGAGAGAGGACCAAAGTTGAAAAAGAAAAGGAAGGCCATTATTTTCAGTAGATTGGAATCACATGAGATTAACGCATTCAACCATCAATTTGATGTTGTCACAGCGTCCCAGGTCACCTTATGGGGCTTGAATTAGAATCATCCCCGGCCGGACCGGCCGGACCGGAGACGTGACTCGCGGACGGCCCAATTAGTAAGCAACCTGTTACGAAGATGAGACCAATCGAAGGATAGGTTGCGTGGAAAATGCGACCCACGAAAGTGGCGGGAGCGGAGAATGAGCCGCCGAAGGTTCCGTATAAGACATCTTCTGTTGGACCCGTTATGGTCAATGCGACCAGGGCAATTGGTCTTCCATACCAAGTGGCGACCAAACATGCTTATTAACGCGTTGATGATCAATCATCACCTCCTTACTCATCCGCGACCGCCATGACATGAGTAGCAAAACATATAAGATTAATTGAAGTCCACAGGCACCAATTATACATGACTCCTCACTACCTACAGTTTATTGAATCGTCGATTCGTCACAATGTCTTCTTCCAAACTGATTGTTATCATCGGAGCCACCGGTAACCAGGGTGGCTCTGTCGCCAACGCATTCCTTGAGGAACCCGGCTGGCAGGTTCGCGCCCTGACTCGCAACACCTCAAGCCCCAAGGCTCAAGCTCTAGCAAAGCGCGGAGCTCAAGTCGCCTATGTTGACCTCGACACGCCTGAGACGTTCCCGGCTGCTTTTGAGGGTGCCAATGCCATCTTCGCCGTCAGTGACTTTTGGGGCCTCTATGGTGATCCTGCCAACAAGGACAAGCCCAAGCCTGGACAGCCATTAAATGTTTGGGCAGCCGAGCATGAAACTGAGCAACTGAAGGGTGTCATCGACGCAGTCGCCAAGGTACCAACGCTGGAGCGCTTCGTCCTCTCCTCGCTCGCAAACGTGACGAAGTGGTCCAAGGGAAAGTACACCCATGCCTACCACTTTGACTCAAAGGCAAATGCAGAGGATTATGGCAGGGAGAAGTACCCGGACTTGTTCAAAAAGACGAGTATCTTCCAACCCGGTTTTTTCTTGAGCAACTATGTCAGCAACCCTATTACTAAAGCAACCAAGGTAAGTGTGCGCACTGAAACTCGTAAGAGCCTTGCTAAGAGGTCAAGAACGAGGAAGGAACAGTCCAATTCATCGGGCACTTGGAGTCGGACGTCAAAGTGCCATTCATCGCCGCCGAAGAGGATTCCGGTCCCTTCGTTAAAGTCCTCGTCAACGAGCCTGCCGGAAAGAACGTCATTGGCTACAGGGGATGGCTGACTATGCCAGAGCTGGCGGAGGCATTCACAAGAGCGACTGGTATGAAGTCCGAGTCTATCACCTTGCCCAAGGGTGAATTTCCTCTACCCCTTCCGGATGAGTTGAAATTGGAGCTTGAAGAGAACTTTGCCGCCTGTAATGAGATTGGTTACGAGGCCAGGAACGATCCTACTATAATTCATCCTCGAGATGTAAGTGAATTTGGGTTGCCGATGCCTCGAGTGTGTTCTAATGCCTGGATACAGCTGGAGTCGCCGCCGTCACTCGATACCGTGGAGGACTACTTCAAGAAACAGGATTGGGCGAAGACCTTTGCCGCTTAAAGCGGAGAAATCGCATACTTATGTAGGTCAAGTTCACAGGATGGATGAAGAGTGGGTTGTTAGCTTGCTGGGCTATGTAAGTGATACCTTGCAAAGGCGCAGTAGTATATAGGTCCCACTATTAGAGATATGGAGCATGAATTCGAGAGGCAAAAGTTCTCAACCTGTTTGACAGAATCAAGTCGTTTTTTGGCTCATGGCAGTCCGCTTCGCAGGAGGGGGCCTAATCATCATGCACACGATGTTGTTAGATGAGGATACCCTTTTCTCAAGTGAATTTACTAAGGTAGAGTTAAGTATTTAAAGCTGCCTCTCCTATCAGCAGAGGCATTGGATGATTCATTGCTTTTAGTGGTTGGATGATGTATTAAGCTTTGCTCGATGCTATCTTGTCTGGGTATGCGTCGAAAGAGCGCGCGAACTATGGGAGGAACAAGCAGCTAACTCCCTAGCGGGGTCTCGACGCCCGCAACTGGTCTTCTGAGGGCTCGTCGAAGGGTATGAGCCGAAGGATGAGAAACTAAGAAGGTAGATAAGGTGATGAGAAATGAGATTGACCTTGACAGAGAGATGATCGGTAAATGCCGTCCTGTCACAAGATCCACCCCCGCATCTGACTGCTGCTTGGTTACGACCCATGTACCAGATTCTCGGACCGGGCCCGGACCGGTATCGCGCCGCCACAGAAACACAATGTAACAGGCGCTGGACGACCCTCAGAGCCGAGCCACCAAATTCATGGACACCTCGGTACTTACCCGTGTCGAGCCAAGCTAACGACCTCCATATGTTTACCCCAGACTATCACCCCATTTAAAGTGGATCAGTCGATCCGAGGTTATGAGAAGCCCTGATAGGCTCTGACCATCTAGTAGTACCATTTCATAGACTAAGACCAAGATCTTGCCCAGATTTAGCTATAAATATGCCCTGAAGGGACCCCTCGAATATCCATCACTCCATGACATTGTCTCAATATCTTCTTCCTCAAACGCGTTCTCGATCTACATCCACTTCCATCTTCACCCTTTAGTCAGCATGAAAGAGAAACCGCCAGGCAGTGCCGCAGCAAGCGTCCAGGTTGCTGAACGCGCCGACAATGTGAACCTTTCAGACGAAGCCGGCCCACACGAGAATGCGGGCTGGAGCGAAGCAGACACAAAGAAGTTGATCCGCAAGATTGACTGGGCCATCATCCCTTTTGTGTCCCTGCTCTATCTCCTGTCCTTCCTCGACCGCACCAATATTGGCAACGCTCGTCTCGACACGCTTGAGACCGACCTTGGCATGTCCGGCCTCATGTACAACAATGCCCTGGCCGTCTTTTTCCCTTTCTACGTTGTGGCTGAGATCCCTTCCAACATGGCCATGAAGAGGTTCAGACCATGGATCTGGATCCCCTCGATGATGGTTGCGTGGGGCATTTGCTGCACCTTGATGGGAATCGTTCAGAGCTACCCGGGTCTGCTCATTGCACGAAGCTTCCTCGGTCTCACTGAAGGTGGTTTGTTTCCTGGAATTGCCTACTAGTAAGTGCCTCGAACCGCCGTGACTATCACGCTGTTGGCTCACCTTACTCAGCATCACCATGTGGTATCGACGCCACGAAAGCGGCTTTCGCATGGCAATCTTCTTTTCTGCAGCCACAGCTGCAGGTGCGTTTGGCGGTTTGCTAGCTCGCGGCATCATGGAAATGCGTGGTCTCGCAGGACTCTCTGGCTGGCAATGGATCTTCATTATAGAGGGAATTTTTACATTTCTCGTTGGTATGTTGAGACGCTCTCCAAGCACAACCATGTCGTGTCTAACAATCTTACCTCTTATTAGCGGTGGCCTCTTTCAAGTTGATGTCCGACTACCCCGAGCGAGCGAAGTTCATAACCGAGGAAGAGCGGAAACACATCCAAGAGCGCTTGAGACTCGACCGGTCGTCACTAGCAGATGAATATGAAACGAAGTACGTCTGGGACGCTCTTCGCGACTGGAAGATCTGGGTCCATATGCTCATGGCTACTGGAACTTTCACTGGAATCTACTCTTACTCTTTGTTCCTGCCAACAATCATTCGCGACCTTGGATACTCCAACGCCACCGCTCAATTGATGAGCACTCCTCCATACATCGCGGCATGCGCTATCTGTGTTGGAGCTGGATGGTGGGCCGACAAGGTTCAGCAACGAGGCATCTTCATGATTGCCTTTACAGCCATAGCGTAAGTTTCTGAACTCCTGTGCTATGTTGTGGCGATGTGCTAATAGTTTGCCAGCGGACTCGGACTCATTCTGCTCATGGCGGTCCGGCATTCTGGAGTCCGATACTTTGGCTGCTTTCTTCTCGCCTCGGGTCTTTTCCCCAGCGTGCCTCAGGGCATTGCCTGGAACAGCAACAACATCGGCGGTGCCCTGAAGAGAGGCGTAGGAATCGCGATGAATGTAAGCTGTGGTAACCTTGGAGGTGTTATTGCAGCATATCTGTTCCTGAAGAAGGATGCTCCGAGATACATGCCTGGTTTTGGCACGCTCCTGGGCTGCCAGACCATGGCGTTCATTCTTGCCGTAGGGATGACCGTCCACTTGCGCCGTGAGAACGCTCGGCGAGACGCATCTTACAAGCCGCCGAGTGAGTACACCGAGGAGGAGATGAACGCCGAGCGGGAGAGGGGTGATGATGCAAGCTTTTTCCGGTATACGGTTTAATGGCTTGGCACGTCAAGTTGAGCACCTAGCCTTGGATGCATATTAGAGGTCCAGTAGTTTGTGTTGAAACAATAAAATAAACGAAAAAGCAAAATGCAATTGATGAAGATCGCCTCAGAGAAATCCTCGGTCTGGGAAGTGCGGGGTGTGGGGAATCCTCGTTTGAGCAAATACTTCGTTCCTTGACGTACCGTAGCCTCACTAAGCAGACTCCTCATCCATCACGGCACCTCGAGTGTTCTTACATCCTAGTCAAGTTGAAAGGAACAGACTGTCTCTGTTGCTCAGAGAAGTCAACTGACTTCGCCGCCCTGCCGCCTTATTGGATGTCACAGACTTTCTTTGACACTTATTCCTCCACCTTGCGCAATGCATAGTGAGAAATCCAGCCTTGTACTGCCTCAAATAACAAACCGGATACAGCAAGGGATATCCTGAGTTGCTGAGAGGCACGCATATGAACGAGGTCTTTTAATTGGTTCGTAATATCATGCTTAATTGCTTGCCAAACATCAAAAAGGTAGAATGTAGACTGCTCGATGTACGACTTTATAAGGGAGTGTATCTCCTCAGCCCAGAGTAGTTAAACCAGCCCCTATTCAAGGCTAGACCTTCTGAACTACCTGCCTCGAAGTGGCTACTTTACCAAAGTGCAAGTGCACATCTACCCATGCTTTAATGACCATCTCTTTATGCGGCTCAAGCCAGTACGTCTTAAATTGCCAGGACACTCCGACATCCCTGGTAACGAGCAGGCCGATCAACTGGCAAAAGCAGCATCATCACTGCCCGAGCCTGAAGGGACTCAACCAACGCTGGCCTACCTACGAAGGATCGCAAGACAAAAACCGAAAGAAGCATTCGAGGCGTGGTGGTCCGCCTCCGCTCCTGAACAATACAAGAGACTCAACCTCAAGGCGACCACAGGCTGCCCGCCGGAGCTCTCGCTCCCGCGTGCAGCCTTGCACCATCTGCTGGCAGCGAGGTCCCTTCACGGAGACTTCGCCGCGTATCACGAAAGATTCGACCACGATGATGCACGCCTGGTCTGCTCATGTGGCCGACGCAAAGCACCGGATCACATCTTCTACTGCAAAAAGGTACCGCCGCGTTACCGGATGAGGCTTGCACCCTCACCGAATGCAGCGGTCAATCTAACAATAGGAAAAGACTTTACCAAATTCATCGACCTGTCCAAGGACAGCGCGTTCTTTGGAAAGATTTGCCCTCGCTATTAGGCGACCACGACCTGAGAAGCACTCGCGACTCTCCTTCCCTCTCTATCTTCCACACATTTCTTTTGTTACCTTTTCTTTCTCTCTTATATGCTCACGGCCAGATGAAGGACGTGACAGCGCCCTTCATCTGGCGGGGACCACCTTGAGGTAGTCTCGAGCTGCCGCACACACAGACTGATCTCAGCTCTCCTGACACCAGGCTCCAAAAGCTGCTGCGATTTGTCAACCGCGCCTTCTCGTCCCGCTGACGGGTAACAGGCCCGATAGGATGCGCCATTCGTGCCGATGATATGCTGGATAGAGCGCGGTCCACTGATGCGATTGCAGAAATAGATTGCCGAGGGGAAGACTAATTTCGCGTCGCGAATGCCTAATCCTTTACCATACACAACCCCCCTTTTGTCAGATATTAAGGTGAATCGTGTATATTTCTTGATTCTGTCGCAATCGAAGGACTATTGAGACCTTATATCTTCGACTGGTTCCTTCTAGGACTTGAGTCCTAGAAAGTCCTAGATGAAAGTCCTACGATCTAAGTTTAGGACTTCAAACTTTAATCCTGAACCTTAATCCTGTGAGGGTGAACCCTCCAACATTCAACACACCCCCTCAGGCTCAATAGGTCCCAGTTGAGCCTGCATTTCCTAGGCAGTCTTCTATCTTCTGGAGCCTTGCTTCTATTCCTTCTTGCTTCCGGCTCTGCTGCTGTCTTTCCTGAATATCTTCCAGGCCAAGTTGATAGAGGAAGCGGTTCCATTTGCCTGCCGGCAGGGCCTTTGTTAATCCGTCTGCGATCATATCCGTCGATTTGGTGTATTTGACTTGAACTCTCCCTCCTTGGACCTCCTGTCTCAGCCAGTGGTTGTGAATATCCACGTGCCGCAACTTAGTCTTCAAAGTAGCGATTTCGGCGGTCACAAGGTTGATAGTTTGAGTGTTGTCGCAGTCGATACGGATAGTCGGATCATCCATCTGAACTGTAAGCTCTTTCAACAGCCGACTCACATAGAGGGATTCCTTAGCAGCCTGTGCCAGGGCTAGGAGCTCTGCCTCTGTTGTGGATGTG